AGGTCTGGAGAGCTGCTCTGCCAGCAAAGCCCAGAAGTCCAGGACTGAGCCAGACAATGGCTTCTTCAAAGGACAACTTGGCAGAAGAAAAGGCCAGATTTTTCTTCCAGAGGTTGCGTGTATAAATACGTTAATAAATAGCACATCAGTATGGGGCAATAACACCCCATACATCTTAATCACATGTTGATTGTAATCTCATCTTTGGCTTCTGGTACTTGAAAATTCAGGTTGCCTGATGCACACTTTTCTGGGGAAAAAAAAGTCTGAATTCTGTAAGTGATTTAGCCGTTTTTGTTGAATTCCATCAGTGGCACAATGAGGGGGAGGTGCAAAGTTGGTGCTCCAGATACTCACTTCACTATTTATTTTATTAGCGACATTTGACAATTGTGAATTTCTGCACTGCATTTCCTGCTGTGCAAATTGATACCAAATGCCTTCTTAAAGAAAAATGAGGTGGCTAGTTTTTTAATAATAATTTTAATAGTTTCATCCAGGGGAAAACCAGAAAATTAAGCAAGATGCAATTTTAAAAGAACATAGAGAACCTTTATCTCTGCATTACGATCATAAATCTTAACCAGAGAGCAGTATCTTTCACAATCTATAAAAAGTAAATTACAATTGAAAACCAAATTTTCCAACTTTACAGCAAGGCAGCATTTCTTGCTAAAAATTTTATTTTGTACCCTAAATGTCCATTGTTTTAAACAGGAAAAAGACCTCTGTCCTAAGGAACCCATACGCTAGCATCCTGCTCTTAAAAAATATGTGCAAGTACTGAACTTTTGGATCATAGGCGAGGAGGTGGCAGCCGTACGGAGTTAACAAGATTGTGGCTTTTTGGATGAGGCCCAAAGGCTGTTTTTTGTAGGCTTCCTCACAGGAGTGAGTCGTACCCGCGGGGAGACAGAGAGAGGGGCATCTCCTCTGCGAGCGGCCGCTTCCGAGCTTCGACCCTTGTTAGGGTATCAGTTGGCCAAGGATGGATGTGCAGCTGGCAGGGGTGGAACGCGAGCGCAGTGAGGAGTAAGACTACACGTTAGCTCTGGCTGGCATTGCCTGCACACAGACCTTCCCAGGCTCCCCCAGTTTGTCTTCTTTTTTATGCTTTATCTTTTCTTCTTTACCTTATCTAGCAGAGGGCTACGAAGATGGTGAGGGGACTGGAGCATCTCTCCCATGAGGAAAGGCTGGGGGAGCTGGGCTTGTTCAGCCTGGAGAAGAGAAGGCTGAGAGGGGACCTAATAAATGCTTACAAATATCTCAAGAGTCGGTGTCAGGAGGATGGGGCCAAGCTCTTTTCAGTGGTGCCCAGTGACAGGACAAGGGGCAATGGGCACAAACTGAGGCACAGGAAGTTCCGTGAGTCTCCTTCTCTGGAGATATTCCAGACCCGCCTGGACGTGGTCCTGTGCAGCCTGCTGTGGGTGACCCTGCTTGGGCAGGGGGTTGGGCTGGGTGACCCACAGAGGGCCCTGCCAACCCCTACCATGCTGGGATTCTGTGATTCTGTGATTCTGTGGTTCTGTGATTCTGTGATCTTGGATCACTTTAGGAAAAAAGTGAATCCCCTTGGTGGTTGTAGACCTCTCTATGTTCACGCTTTGGCAGTAAGTCCCAAAACACAGAGTGGCTTTTTTGAGGGCATGCTTACTAGCAGCAAGATCTTGCTTCGAGTGTGGTGGGCTCAAGTGGTCCTGATGCTTAGGCTGATGTTACCACAAGCCAGAAGTTAGAGCAGCTCTACCTCCGCTTTATGCTACATTAGGAGACAACACAGTCCATCTCAGGTCCAGATGGAGCATTCAAGTTCTCCTCCTGCTTCCTCACTACCTTAGATACAGCAAGAACAAAATTTTTTTGACGTGCAGACAAATCCTATCGTGGCTTCCCAGCAAGGATCGGTGCAACTAACCCCCAAATCCCTGTAAAGCACTACCCATGCCTGCAGGGCTGTTACACATCGGGTTTGGCCATGAGCTCACCTGACTTTGCGCGGTACTAACAAACCTTCACAGGAAAACCTGGGCTGCCTGGCCCCATCATATCGGTGTGCCAGTGCCTTGCCATAGCGGGGTCAGGCAGCTTCCCTCAAAACTAGCCAGCTGGGTTTTATCCCAGAGCAGAGCTCGTGTGGGGAGAAGGTAACAGAACAAGCAACGAGAAAGAGGATATCCTGCCCGGTGATTAAAAGCGCACGTCATCCCTCCTTATCCATCTTCAGAAACTGCAGGATTTACGTACAACAGTGTCCACGAGCTCTTACTTCTCTCTCGGCTTGATTAAATGTTTGTGACCATTCCTAACGGTGCGGACTGCGCAGCTGTCACTCAGCTCCTTCACATTCCACTGTCTAAGGAGGCTCTGTGCTTGAAGATCACTGAAAAACTTTAGCTGCGTTGGAGTGCAGCTCTTGAAATCCATATTTTAATTTAGTGTAGAAAAAGTGCTGATCAGAAAACTCTCCAGCTGCTTGTACAGTGTTCAGACAACAAATAATTAAACTTTAAAAAGGGCTCAGTGTCAACAAATGGCTAAGAAAATAGGAAGAAGGAGGCAGAACCCCCCTAAATAACCGCACAGGTAAAATGGAGTGTAAATAAGTATCTGCTGCACTGCTGGCTCTTCCTCATGTTTCGTGAAGAAACCAAACGACCAGTTCATCCCTGTCTAGCCACTCGACGCTGGCTGCAGATCAGCTCGAGGCCCTGGCTGTGAGGACAGCTGGGTGAAGCACTGGCATCCAGAAGCCTTTCTTCAGTTCAGTCTGAATTAACTCAATATCTTTGGTTGGAAAAAAAGATGGCTCTTCTCTGCTGTGGTGATGGAGGAACTCACCAAGGAGATGTTAGAGGCAGTTTGATTTTCTCCTCAGCCCAAGGGGACTTGAACCCACATATTTTGCCTGTTCCTACAGTAACCCAATTCTCACAATACGGATCATCACCTCATGGCGCCGTCCAGCTTTGTATAAATAATTCAACCCTGGAACTCGGTGCTCTAATTTCCAGAACAGAAGGACCTTCTTGCTATTTCTCTGGGTCATTTTGCTCAACACAAAATGATGCAGTTTATCTGCTTCAGCCAAGTGAGGAAAACACGACAGTTTTTATTACTTTCTTTCCAATGCTTCTATTCGTTTTCAGTTTGGCCGCTGAACCAAAGCCTGAAGTTTCTGCAGATCCCTACGTCTGGGTACCTTTGGGTTTCAGCAGTTCCGAGTGCTGGGTGGGGTAGGGACAGCCTGGCGAGGCAGCAGCGCAGGTCTCAGAGATGCCTAACCTCGAGCTTTAGCAACACCAGCGGGATGCTGGACACCGTGAGCGGTGACACCAGGTGTGCTGCTGGGATCGTAGCATCCTAAAATCGGGGGTTGAAGGGATTGGTAGGCTTTCACCAGTCTGTGTGGGCTTGGAAGAACCTTAGTCCAGAGCAGGGCT